AGAAACGATGTACAAATGCGCTTTACACAATTGATGTGTGTATGGATTTGGATAACAGTTGTATGAGCCCCTAATAAAATGTTAAAAAAGAAAAATAAATAAATATAAAGAAATAGAAAAAAAACAACAAAAAAACCCAACAATCATATCAAGCAGTCATAGCAGAATATTGAAAATAAATGAGGAAACTCCATGATAAAAAAGGGGTTCTGTACCCAAGGTGAATGGAGGGGAGCATGGAGCGGAGACCCAATGTCCATCTGTAGACAACTGGACGTCCCCTCACAGAGGAGTCATAGGGAAGAGATGAGTCAGTCAGGGTGCAGTATAGCACCGATGAAACACACAACTTTCCTCTAGTTCTTTGGTGCTTCCATCACCCCACTATCATGACCTCAATTCTACCTTACAAATTGGATTAGACCAGAGCATGCACACTGCTACAGATGAGTCGCAACCCAGGGAATTCAGGATAGACAAACCCCTCAGGGCCAACAAGGAGAGTAGAGATAACAGGAGGATTAGAGGAGGGTGGGGGAAGAAAGGGGGAAGCGATCACAAGGATCAATCTAGAACCCCCTCCCAGGGGGATGAATAACGGTAAAGTGGGTGAGGGGCAACGGAGGATGATGTAAGATATGGAAAAAATAATCTATCACTTAGCAAGGGTTCTTGAGGGAGGGCAGGTGGGGGACGGAGGGGGAAGAAATGGGAAGCTGATAGCAGGGGCTCAAGTGGGAAGAGAATGCTTTGAAAATAATGATGGTGGCATATGTGCAAATGTGCTTGACACACTGGAGGAACATATGGATTGTGATAAGAGATGTAAGAGCCCCAATAAAAGTATTTAAATAAATAAATAAACAGTGCCAAATTACCCCCCCGCCCAACAAAAATGTGCTTCTGTAGAGGATGGGGTTTCTTAACCTGGACACTATTGTTACAAATCAGGCTGGACAATTCTTTGTGGTGGCATTACTTTGTGAACTGGAAGCGAGTTAGCAGCCTTCTTGGACTCTCTTGACCAGCTAGGTGCCAGTCGCAACTCCCAGCGTCACTTGTGAAAACCGTATGTGTCATGAGGGACAAAATATTCCCCTGCTGGAAACCACTGGACACACAGCTAATGACAGGTGAGAACAGAGCCCAGATCAATCAACACCTCACACAGAAGCCTGGGCTTGTGGACCCAACTGCTAGCGCTGGCACGTCGTTCCCCACGCTGACAGCAAATTTCCAGCCCCGCTAATAGTCAACTTTTCTCTTAGATATAACATAATTTGTATTAACAAAGCATTCCCTCATCAACAGCCCAAATAATTCTCTCTGCTCCTTTGTGTCATATGTTCTGAACATTCTATGTAAACCGAAGATGGAAATGAAAAACAAATACACGTACCGTTTTATGAAGTTAGCAAAGAGTATCCGATGTGAGTACCCTAGCCGTCGGATTCTCGCGGTTTCCAGAATGCCTGTACAGCGAAGCTGGAGCAGAACTTTTTCTTTGTCATATTTTCTTGCCTGACGGTCATTATTTGGTTTGATGCAGCGCACAAAATGAGGTTGGCCCACCACCATTTTAGATAATAAGTCCATCAGCGAATACTGCAATATTATGCAATAGAAATAATTTTCCCAGTGTAGCATACCTGAGTTTTTACTCTCTTTATTAAATAGAAATACACTTTGGAGACTGAGTGTTATAAATGCCCACACTAATTCACAGTAACCGAGGGAAGGTCTTTATTAATAAAATGTTTATCTAAAAGATATTAGAATGCAGATGTATTCATAAAAAATGTAGGTGCAATAACTACAAACTTTGCTATTAAAAGTCTGCATGACAATTCTTTAGGAAATTTCAATTAATAGATATAATGCTTTGAATAGAGTTTGTCTGAAAGTAATTATACCTTATCAGGGAAACTTGCTGAATTATAATATTTAGGCTCACAGTCTGGCTAATCCTGCTTATGTTATTAGTTTCCCTGCCTAACTCTTCCTTTCTACAAAGTATGAAAATACTTGTAAATACCCCAAGCCCTGTCATAACCATCTCTTACTCTGAAAAAAGGCTGGAGAGGTTGATTCATTTTTAATATGGAGGGCATAGATCCAAAGTAAGCAAGGTGATACTCATTCAAACACTCTTATCTGTTCCAGTTTGAGAATTTTCATAGATTAAAAAACCACACAGATATGAAGACTGTGTTCTGCACCGGTAAATTATTAAAACAGGTGGTACGGGGGCTGGGCACTGAACTGCTAACAGCAACGCAGTGATTAAAGCCCACCAGACACCCTGGGAAAGAAAGATGAGGCTGTCTGGCCCATCAGGGTTTACAGTTTCAGAAACTCAAGGGAGCAGTTCTTTGTACCGTAAGACACAGAGGAGTCTCAGTCGGCTCAATGACACGGGTAAGGAGTCTAACATATGAAAGAAATGTGATTTCACTAAACATGGAATTCCAAAACACAAGTATCTCAAAGACAAAGGTCATAATGTACTGCCAACCAACTATGGCTGCATCCCTATTGTGCCCTATTGTGCTCTGCACTCATAAAGCCAGTGCAAACCAAAGCCTGGACTTGGACAAGCGAGGACGCTCGGGATTGGCGTGGTTTTCTGTGGCTACGGCTCCTCTGCCGTGGGCTGCACACAGCTGTCATTACAGCGATCTGTGCCGGGTCCTTGCTTTAGTCAGGCGAACGTCTGCCAGGCACTGGGGTATGAAGGTGAGATACACGTGTGCGCACAGCAGGAGTTGACTGCGACTGGTGGCATTATCAGCGAATTAGAAGCTGGGCTGGCCTAGCAGGCTGTCCACTGAGCTGTTAACCACAAGGTGAGCGGTTCAAGCTGTTGCTCAGATTGACGAAGTCTGGGAATCTCAAAGGGGGCAGTTCTACTCTGCTTGTGGGGTGCTGTGAGTCAGAATGGACTCAATGACAATGAGCGTGTGTGTGTGTGTGTGTGTGTGTGTGTGTTGTTTTACTGTAGAACAGCTCCATGGAGTTTCCAAAACTGGCATCTTTCAGAAGCAGAGCACCGTGCCTGTCTTCCCAGGCACCTCTGGGTGGGTTTGAACTAAGTGTTCAGTTTGTTAACTACGTGTTTAGCGGTTTGCATTACTGAGGGACTCTACGGCAATTTAGGCATTTTTTTAGGGACCAAGGCACAGTTAGTAACAATCTTATAGCTATGACCCATGAACTGTGCCATGGTCCCTTACGGAGATGCCCTCTGTTGCTATAGGAATCCCTCAGTCATGCAAACTGTGGAAGGAGACTCAGGGCCTTGAGCTTGCTTTTGCTGGGCGGGGTGGGGGAGGGGAGGCACAGTGGTTATACTGACTCGTCTCTGTAGAGGAGGCAATTTTAGAAACACGCTGCATACTGTTTGGAATTGTCTTCTATTGCTTTGCACGCCAACCTGAGGATTAAGCTGATTTTGTGAATGAATCTGGCTCAAACGTAACGGGCCTGAACCCGCACTGAGGAAGACAGCAGCTGGCTGAGAAGATGCTGGGTGATGCAGCTGTGCTGCACTTTTGATGCAAGGTGATGGCATCAGCGGTGCCCGTGACGTGATGCATTCAGTACGTAGCAGATCTAGCAGATCGCGTGTGTCCGTGGCCTACATGGCGCTCTCTAACAAAATCTGAAATCCTTTTAAAAGTAGCTGGTTTGTTTTAGTAACTATTTTTCAAGCCCTCATCCCACATGACACACGGTGTGCTTAGCTACCTGAATAGCATCAATACCCTTAACTCCACCCTCTCCCCCTGCATTACATTATACTCCTCATAATTGCCAAGTTTTTAGGTTGTGTTTTCTTCAGTTTTTGTGGGAAACCGAAAAGCCATTCCCCAAGTTGTCCCACCATCATACATAGCACACCTGAGGTGCTGTTTGCAGACACATGGTCACTTGGAGGTCAACTGCTTAAAGGTGATCTGCTGGAAGGTGGTCAGCCATCTAAGGCAATCAGGCCCTGCTGTCTGTCCCTCCCTAGTAGGGCTCACTCCCTTCTGATAAGGATAATGGATTGTTCCCTGAAGAAGAGTCCAGAGACACCCAAGGTCAAGCCAACTCAGGGATGACCAAGGTTAGACTGCCATCTTGACTCTAGAGCCCGCCTATCTTGTTACGCATATGCCTCCCTGTCATGCGTATGCCTATTGTACAGCCTCTTCCTGTTACACATGTGGTTACCAGTCATTAGGGCACTGGCACGCCCGAGAGGGTACATAAGCCTTGGTTGGAAATACATTCGCTCTCTCTGCGCAGATCTGCCTCCTGAAGTCATGACGGCCTCGGAGCTGAGCAGTTGCGTGCTCTATCCTGTCTGAGGTCTTTAACTTTAGACCTCAGTTGCACACCCGCCCCTTGGACCTGCTCGATTGTGGAGGCTGGTACCCCGCAAGTTTCACTGGCTGGTTCAGAAGATATAAAATATAACTGGAGCCAGTGATAAAGGGAGGGTTATCAAGTGCTCTCTAGAACACAGAGAGAAGACCGCTTTTCAGCGTCCCTTTCTCCCACAGCCAACAAGGAAGACAAGTTCACACTGGGTGTCTCTGCTAAAATAAGCACAGAATGGGTCCCTAGACATGCCACTGGATCTTCCTGGTATCTAATTTTTGCCCCCGGGGAGCATGGAGTTCTAGTTTACTTCTGAAGTCTTCAGCTCATGGAGCTGGAGTCCCAGGGGGGCACTGATTGCTGACATGCTTCACTGCTAATGGAGACCCTGGAAGTTCTTGTCTACCCAGAGGCACTTCCGAAGGAAAGCCTGGCTGTTGACTTTAGAAGAACCTCAATAGCACAGTTCTATTGGGATACGACCCACACGCGTGCTGTGAACTGGAATGGACTCGATCCAAACAGTTTTTGTTTTTTATGTGTAGGGGGATCTCAAAGAGGGATGGATTCTCAAGCATGCCCCGGCAGATTATGCTAACTTCATCCAGGAATGGCAAGGAGAATTGCAAATTATTATAGTACTGGATTAAGAACCATTTTTGGATTTAGGTTCACGGTAATGCCCTGGGCTCTATGAGCAGATTTCTATCACGATGCAGCTCTCCAGTCCGACTAGTCTAGGATACCCTATCTGGATGAAATGTCCCAGGAAATTCAACCCACAGATTTCTGCCAGTATTCTCTAATAAATTCTGCATCTCATCAATATTAATTTCAATTTAAAAATCCACTTTTGTTAACGGCAGTAATAGTTGGTCCAAGGTTATGATCTATAACTCTCCTTTAGAATGCCTAATATCCCCCCACGATACATAAAAATATCTTACTCTAAAATATGACGACACCGTTTGTGTGTTCATGTTGGTCGTCTCTCTGGCATGGCGGGTGGCTTCTGCGTTGTCACCCTAAGAAGACCAAGGAAGACAGTGATGCTCCAGGAGCTAGTCAATGTCATGGTTGTCTTAGTCCCTGCAAGTTGCCTTAGTCTAGGTATTCAAATAGATAAAACATCAAAGTCACTTTCGATTCAAAGCAATGGTTTCATCACCACCACTGGACTTTTAATTGGTCTTGCATGGGATATGAATAGCTATAGCCTTGAAGATCTGTGTGGGTGGCTCCTCATTGTGATACGGACACAAGCTATAAAAGAAGAGCTAGGGATAGCTATGAAACATGCATGGTGATTTCAGCCACTAGAGCTGAGAGAAACACAATGTGGAAGTATCTGTTTAATCAGAAAAGAAAGACCAAAGGGAGACGGAGAAAACGAAGGAAGGGCTGTTTGCTGACTTCTAGGTGCACGCAAATATGGGCTTTGGAAAAGTGCCAGCCTGAAGTTTCCAGCCGTGAAAAATGCATTTTCTTGGTGGTTGTCACCGCTCCAAAGCTTCTTTGTGAAATGAATGCATCTTAATTATGTATGATATTTCTAAAAAGAATGTAAATCAAAATAAATCTTGTGAACTCACTACAATTTTTGAAAACATACACTCAGATGGAAAGCTATTTTTCTCACGGAGAAGCATCCATATTTACCTATAATATTCAGTTATTCACAAGGGAGGGAGGGGAAAATAAGAGGAGCTGATATCAAGGGCTCAAGAAGAAAGAAAATGTTTTGGAAATGTTGATGGCAACATATGTACCAGTGGGCTTAATACAATTGAATGATGTATTGTCATAGATTTGTAAGAGCCTCCCAATAAAATGATTAATAAAAAGATGTTGGGAAGGTGGGGTGGAAAGGGGGAACCTATTACAAGGATCTACATATAACCTCCTCCCTGGGGGATGGACATCAGAAAAGTGGGTGAAGGGAGATGTTGGACAGTGTAAGACATGACAAAATAATAATAATTTATAGATTATCAAGGGTTCATGAGAGAGGGGAGAGCGGGGAGGGAGGGGAAAAATGAGGAGCTGATAGCTAGGACTCAAGTAAAAAGCAAATGTTTTGAGAATGATGATGCAACAAATGTACCGATGTGCTTCACACAATGGATGGATGGATGGATTGTGATAAGAGTTGTACGAGCCCCCAATAAAATGATTCAAATTTAAAAAAGGAAAAAAAAAAAGAAAACTGCATTTTCTTACCTTTGTCAGTTCGATTGATTTTTCTGAAGTCCTCACTTGATAGCTTATTTTATTTTTAGTTCGAGAATGTGGCAGATTACCTATGAGAATATAGATAAAATGAATATATCTTCTAGAATCCTTAATGGCTAGATGATTCTTTCATTTATCTAAATGTTCAAATAAGCATTGTCGATCCCTCAACATTAATATTTATGTGCTGCTTTTACTATTTGCTGGGAAACACGGGGTGTGGTGGTGGTGGTAAAATGTCGTGTGAATATTTACGACAGATTCTAAATTAAACAAAAGTCCTACAGTTGGGGGAGGATAAAAGTTGAGGTTAAGTTTTTCAAGAACCCCACAAAACAACATCAAACCCTTTTTGCCACTGAGTCAGGCCAGCTCATGGCGACCTGCCGTGTCACAGCGGAAAGACCTGTCCTGTGCGTTCCCTGGGCCGTCGTCTTGACCGAAGCTGGTCGCCATCTTGTGTGATGCTGCTAGGTGGATTTGAACCACCAACATTTGGGTAAGTAGATAAATGCAAGCTGCTTGTCACACCCAGAGACCTTAGATGTAAGTTTTAGGTAGTGTTAAAGTTCCTTTCGATTTCTAGAAAATGTGAGGTATTATGGTGGAGGGAGCAAGTTGCTTCTTATTTTTTGGTGCCAAAGAGTATCTGTGATGTTCTGTAACCGGGTTACAGGCTGGGATGCTAACTGCAAGGTTAGCAGTTTGAAACCCCCAGTGGCTCCACAGGAGGAAGATGATGATGCTTTGTGCTTCTGTAAAGTTTCATAGCCTCAGAAACCCACAGGGATGGTAATGCCTGCTCTGGAGGGTCACTATGAGGAGCCAGAATGCAATGGACGGCAATGAGGGTGTTTTGTTTGTTTATTTTTAGGTTACGCTCTACATGAGCCCGGGGTTAAGGGACTACATCCCAAGGCAGCGTTGATATTAGGAACCAGAAAGATCTGGGTTTGAATCCTGGGTTTGAATCCTGTTAAATGGTGTTGCCCTTGGGAAATTTGCTTAGTCTTTGGGCTGCAATGCGATTCCACAGTGTGAGGATGCTCATGCCTGCTTCACAGAACTGGAATTGGAATGCAATGAGATCGTACTGCACGGGCTAGGTGCCTAGTTCATGCTCATATCCCTCTCACTCTTCACCAACTATAATAAAATCACCAATCCACCAAACAAGGCCGTCATTCCGGCAGTCACGTGCACGGTGACTCCAGAACGAGGGCTCACTTTTCTTCTCTCTCAGTCTTTAAGGGATAAGGAAAGGTTAAATGTTTTTAAACAGTAATGTTTAATTAATAATTAAATATGAAAAACTAAACATTAATTTACATAGGCCTGAATCTATTAAAGTAATTGAATTTGCAGTGAAAATCTTTTCACAGACACACAATAACATCCAGATCCAGCTGGTATTGCTGCTGAATTCTAACAAACAATTATAAAGGAAATTCCAGAAAATTTCATTTTCCTGAAAACCCAAGAGAAGGCAGCACTTCTCAACCAATTCTATGAAGCCATCATCACACTGTTCCCCACATCAGAAAAAGATGTTAGAAAAAGAGATAACTACAGTTCAATATGCTTACCAAAATAGATGTGACCTTTCTTAAAACCTCAAAGTGAAAAACGTTAGAAAATTGAATACATTAATACATTCCAAGTCATAACCATGCAATGTTTCTCTCAGGAATGTAAAGTTGGTATAACATTAAAAAAATTAGATAATGTAACTTGTTCCATTAACAGACTAAAAGCAACAATAATAAATGATTATGACAGTAGATGCAGAAAAAGCATTTGTCAAACTCCAACATGCATCCTGATAAAAACTCACAGAACGAAGAACAGAAAGTAACGTCTTCCGTGTAATGTACATCTTGAAAGACCCAAGTTATCGCCAGACTTAATGATGAAGAAATGTTTTCCCTCAAGGTCAGGAGCAAGGCAAGAATATTTACTCTCATCACGTCTACCTACAATTGCACTAGCTGGTGTGACCAGGCAAGAGGAGGTGATAAAAGAGAATCATATTGTAAAGGCTAAGCTCTTTATTCAAAGCCCTGGTGGTAGAAGCTCCTCTCCACCAGGCAAGCAGCTGAAAAACACCAGCTCGCTCCACGGGACAAAGGTGACGCCTGCCACCCCCATAAAGAGTTACAGTCACAGACACCCACAGGGGCCGTTCTGCCTTGTCCCATAGGTTGCTATTGGTTGGAATCAACTGGATGGCCATGAGTTAGCTTTGGTTGTAGAGCTCAATAAAGAAATGTCAGAAAACGATTTTAAAGAAATGCAACCCAAATCACTTTCTCTTACTTGAGGGAACATTCAAGGATATATACGATTGAGCGGAACACAGGCACATGAGTGAACCTGCAGAACCTCAAAGACTGTACACTCCTGAGAAGGCAACCATCTGAGCTCTTGGGAGATGTGTGCCGTTTTTGAGGCAGTAACTAGGACACCACTGCATTATTTGATGATGGCCCATAAGGTTTGCTTCAATGAAAGCCTAGTTTCTTTAGATTCACTTTACCATTTTCTTCAGGCTGTTGATCACCTTCTGAGGACGTTGGTCAGAAGAAACCAATTTATTGAGCTGAAGTCACAACAACATGAACGTTTGGGGCATTTGCTCAAGAAAGTCACAGAGACAGAAGGGCCTGAGAACCTTCTCGCTAAGAGACATGACCTTACCTGTTTTTGTCAGAGGGTGATTGACTAGTTGCCGAATGACACTGCTTTCTGATGACCTCAACAGTAGCACAATGTCAGTTGGAAGAGTGTCTCTATTTTTAGCTAAAAACCCACTTGCATTATAGAGGACCTGTTGACAAAGCAGGCTATCATCAGTATGACGGTCAACGTTTTCCCCAAGGTCACTATTGTCCTCACCACCAGCACTATCCACAGGAACTTATTTTGCTCAAGCTGACTTTGTGCCAGGCAGTGGGGCCACACGATTTAGAAAGCTAGCCCAGATGACCTCGTTGGGAAAATCCTCCTCTCTAGATTACTGTGTATCTTGGAAGAGCAAAACGTGGGTCTGACTGATTTTACTTGGGTGAAAACGGCCAATTCTCCCATTTATGACGTTATTCATTTAGAATTCTTCTGTTGTCAGTTGGAGAGGGGCTGAGGGGGAATGTGAGAGCGGAGCACATGGTGGTTACACGATTTCTCATTTGTCCGACGATTGAACGACTTGCCAACTCTGAGCAGCAAACACCGCACACAAACCCCAGTGCTACTGAGCCAGTTCTCACCGATAGCTACGTTTTGGCAGGGTAGAACTGTCCCATGGGGTTTCCAAGGCTGGAATCCTTACGGCTGAAGATTCCTATAACTTCCTCCCACAGAGCAGGTGGGTAGTTTGAAAGGTCCACCTGTCAGGTAGCAGGGGAGAGCACCACCATTCTCCCCGGGGCTCCTTATCTGAGTGGTAGTGTGGTCTAAACACACTGCAGGTTTTTGTGTTTGGGGCATATCTAAATAATTTTAGGACTTTCTAAGGATCCAAGATGATCATTAAGTACAACTACAAAAAGTAACCATTAAGTTGACCCAAGCTCATGGTGAGCTCATGTGTATCAGAGTATAGCTCAGGGTTTTAAACCACTGATTTTTCATAATAGATTGTTCTTTCCCCGAGGTACTTCTGGGTAGAAGTATAATTTCCAACCTTTTGGCCATCTGCTGAGGGGGCCTGTTTGAACCATCCAGGGACTCCAATGTAATCATGAGAAATTTTTGTGGACGTATTAAGATAGAAAACAGGAAATCACATGCTGAGAATCACGAGACCGTCTCTAACCATAATGGCTTAAAGCAGATTTATTTCTTTCAATGAAAAACCCTTTGGCACATGACTGAATGTGTTGCACACCATTATGGCCGCATGTTGATTGTCTCCTTCATCCAGATGACTCGTGTGGTACTTACAAAATCTGGTGTCAACTTGAGACTAGTAAGAGTGAAGGGGTGGAGTCTAGCCTGTCAATTAGGTTGTGGCTTGAGGATCTCATTTGGAGGCGCTAAGGAGATAAATAGCTCACCAGAGGCCAGACACACTCACTCCCTACAAGACATTCCTGTTGACATGACACATGGAGCTACACGAGAGTCCTGGAGCTGGAGGAACCACATGGAAGCCCATGCCAGCACTGAGATGCTTCCACCACCACTGGATCCACAAGACTTTCCATCCACCTGTGATCTTCTTGTATTTGGCGTCATTGCATGGCTGCACGACTCTAACGAGGAATTTATGGACTAATATTGATATATGGGGTAATATCAGACTTAGGGCCTTAGTCTGGAATTTATGGACTAGCATTGACATATGGGGTAATATCAGACTTAAGCACTTGATCTGGACTGGGCTGGGATGTTTTCTTAATGTAAAATTGTCTTTTAATGTGTAAGTTCTCTTTTACACATAGATGAGTGTCTCTGGATTTGTTTCTCTAGTCAACCCAGACTCACAAAACTGGTTTCTCTTTGTCCTGGTTAGGGCTTACTCAAGGGGTCTCTAACAATTAAATCTGTAGATGACTGAATGGCATGTGGCAGTTGCTTGAATGCTCAGGTGTGTTTCTCTCTGGATCCAGTTCTCTCTTGATTTAAATGTTTCCTTTACCCTTGAGTATTTATAACATCAGTGCGAAAGGGATCCACGACTTTCTGCAGAAGCAAAGGAAAGTGCTGAGCTTTGCTCTCGTGTAAGGATATGTATTTCTCCAGCTGCGTAACGTTCGACTAGCCGGCTCTAGCCATGGGGGGGTTCAATATATGACCACACTCTGGACTCACACCTTCTCCTGGTGGGCAGGGGTTACAGTGAAGAGAGAACTAGCTGAAGGCTGAAAAAGTCAGTTTATGTAAAACAAACACAAACCAACACTTTGCTGTTACGCCAACTCTCACGCGTGGCAATCCACGCGTGTAAGCAGAACTCTGCTCCACCGGCTGTCCGGAGGTTGACTTTTCAGGAGCAGATCACTCGGGCCTGGCTTTCAAGGTGGCTCTGGGTAGATTTGAACAGCCAGATTTCCAGTTAGTAGCTGAGCCACATTATCATTCGGTGAAGGGGAAAATTGATATTTATTACTAGCCAAACTCACCTGATGTTAGATCTTAGGATCAAAAAGATGAGCTTATTAAGGCCACCCTCCCCCCTTTAGTTTTCAAAATAAATGTTCTTCCAGAAATGCTCTAATCTTGTGTTAATTGCAGAGCGTGGTGATGCAGTGGGGTAAGTGATGGGAGGCTAACTGCAAGGTTGGTGATTCAAACCTACCAGCTATCCTGCAGGAGAGAAAAAAGTCTGTGTGCTCCTATAACGACTGACAATCCCGGACACTCTATGGAGCAGTGCTACTGGGTCAAGTGCAACTGGATGGTGGAGGGTTTGGCTTTGGTTTTTGTATTTATCCTAGAAATTTTAATATCATTTCAGGAGGGAGGTGAGAACCTGGAGGGGTGGCCGTATCCGCAGTCAGAGGCTTGTAAGGGGCAGGACTGATTGTAAACATTGGAGGGCAGAGTTCGAGTCAGATAGGGACCAAAACACACGGGCTACCGACTTGTAACGCTCTGCAAAGATTCTGATGCACGGCTTTCGTGTCTTCTTCACCAGACAAAAACTAAAGAGAAACGCAAGGCAAAACGACACGGCACGCCCACCTTTCCTGCGTAGTGGTGAATTCCAAAACTGAGGTCCAGCCTCTTGGGTCTCCAGAAGAACTGGGATTTCAGGTTATTTTCAAATTTTTCTGTAGAAATAAAAATGGTGACGGTAAACAAGCGGCCATCTAGCTCAGGAGCAACAAAGCCCACATGGAATAAGCACACCAGCAGGTGTGATCCTGAGGTGTCGATGGGATCAGGTATCAGGCATCAAAGAACAAAAAATCAGATCATTGTGAATGAGGGGGAGTGCAGATTGGGGACCCAAGACCCATCTGTAGGCAACTGGACGCCCCCTTACAGAAGGGCGGCGGCGAGGAGACCAGCCAGTGAGAGTACAATGTAGCAATGATGAAACATACAACTTTCCTCTCTTTCTTAAATGCTTCCCCCCGCCCCCCCTACTATCATGATCCCAATTCTACCTTACAAGTCTGGCTAGACCAGAGGATGCACAGATAGGATGTACAGATAGGAACTGGAAACACAGGGAATCCAGGACAGAAGAACCCCTCACGACCAGTGGTGAGAGTGGCAATATCGGGAGGGTGGAGGGAAGGTGGGGTAGAAAGGGGGAACTGATTATAAGGATCTACATATAACCTCCTCCCTGGGGGATGGACAACAGAAAAGTGGGTGAAGGGAGACGTTGGACAGTTTAAGATATGACAAAATAATAATAATTTATAAATTATCAAGGGTTCATGACAGAGGGGTTGGCAGGAAGGGAAGGGAAAAATGAGGAGCTGATAGCTTGGGCTCAAGTAAAAAGCAAATATTTTGAGAATGATGATGGCAACAAATGTACAAATGTGCTTGACAGAATGGATGTATGTATGGATAAGAGTTGTACGAGCCCCCAATAAAATGATAAAAAAAGAAAGAAAAATGGACAGATCAGTATCTTTCACCATAAAAAACAGTACAGACAGAAAATGTACTATAACTAACGTATGCACATTTGGGAATATAACTTACAAGTTGTGTTAGTCCAGGTAGACCAGTGGTTCTCAACCTTTCTAATCCATGACCCTTTCATACAGTTCCTCATGTGCTGGTGACCCCCCAACCATAACATTATTTTCGTTGCTGCTTCATCACTGTCATTTTGGTACTGTTATGAAATGGGTGACCCGTGAAAGGGTCGTTCGACCCTCAAAGGGGTTGCGACCACAGGTTGAGAACTGCTGAGGTAGACTTATCTTCTCAAATTGACAAATAACTGTAGAACTACCACACAAGCCAAAAGACAACTCTCAAGGCCATGTATTTTTGCCATTTCATTGTGATTTAGAGCAGTGGTCCTCAAATCTAAGCATGAATCAGGCTCGTTAAAACACAGCCTCGGAGGCCGCACTTCCGGTCCTAGGTCAGGAGGACGACAGTGAGATCCAAGGGCCCCCTGGGGTGAAGGGGGTATGAACTGGGCTGCTGCCTACAAACTCATCAGCTCAAACTCACCAGTTATCTACGGGAGAAATAGCAAGCTCTCTGCTCCCATAAAGATTTACAGCCTCAGAAGCCCTATATATGAATCACAATCTAGGACAGCGGTTCTCAACCTGTGGGTCACGACCCCTCTGGGGGTCGAATAACCCTTTCACAGGGTCGCCCGGTTCATCACAGTATCAGTGACAGTGATGAAGCAGCTGGGGGGTCACCACAACATGAGGAACCCTATTGAAGGGTCGCAGCATTAGGAAGGTTGCGAACCACTCATCTAGGATAAAAAAGGATAAACTTTTTATGGCCATCCTATTCATTTCTTTTTCCCTTTAGTTATAAAATAAAGATTCTCTTAGAAAAATGTGAATCCTGTGTTAATTGTGGGTGACAGTACCTTTGCAGTAAATGAGAAGACAAACGAAAAACAAAACTTCAGAATGCACATGTATTTGCAAAAAAGCTTTTAAATGAGACCTTATGCCTTGACGATCCCACCACTACCACTGAGTGGATTCTGACTCATAAGGGCTCTCTACATAACGTTTCCAAGAATTAATCTGTTTGATACAGACAGCCTCAGATTTCTCCTGAGGAGCACTTGGTGGTCTTGCAGACCATGTGGTCAGCAGCCAAATGCCTAATCCGCAGCCCCACCAGTGCTTGTTAATGTAAGGAGTACAGTCATTTTTATTTCGACCGTGTTGGGTGAGAATCTTCTTAAGCACAGTACAGATCTCTCTGCATTCTCAAACAGGAAAAAGAAAAGGAATACGTTTGATCTTTCTTTGATGACTCAGTGTAATCCTAATGACTTTTCTCAGTGCACTGAAAGTTTGAGGTTATAGAGGTAATGGAGGCCGTTTGCTTCCACTCGATAAGTGACTAGATGGTCACGGATGGGTTTGTGTTCCTGGCTTGTAACCGTCTGTTCAGAGTTGACAGGCACACCCACAGCTTATAGCTGGGCCTGGATAATTCCTAAGCTCGTTTCTAACCTAAGATTCTGTAGTTAGGACCCCACCACAAAGTGAGGAGAATTCTAATATCACACATCTTTAACAACAACAACAAGAAAACCAAGTTCACTGATGGCCGTCGAGTCGATTCGCACTCACAGCAGCCTTGTAGGACACAGCAGGGCTACCCCGTTCGGGTCTCCAAGCTGTAATATTTATGAAAGCAGATGCCACATCTTCCGACCCCAGAGTGCTTAGGAGGTTGAGCCACTGCCCTGACTTGTCCGTTGGAAGCCTAGCACGTCAACATTACATCACCAGGGCTGTTTAAGACTGTTTAATCATCCGTGCATATTTCATATTGTTATATGTCCTGGTATTAAAGCCAGATTCTCTCTTGTAAAGTTAAACACACAGGCTTCCCCAAACAAAAACCCCTTGATGTTGAGTGAGTCCAACTCCTGGAGCCTCCGTGGTGTCGGAGCAGACCTTTATTCCACGGGCGTTTCCATGTGTTTCTCTGAAGTAGGTCACCGCGTCTTCCTTCCCAGGATTCTCAGGGTTGACCCCAACCATGAACTTTATGGCTTACTGAGAACATTAACCATGCGTGCCATCCGGGGCACATTTTCTTCTAGATCATTTTTAAAACTTTCAAGAAGCACATCACGTAGCGTGAATTCGTTTGTGAGATCGTGCAGACATACTGGGTTTAAAACTTACCTATGAGAGTCTGGTCAGTGGCCTTGGGGAATCGACTTTCTTCATCAAGGAGGGACAGCAAACCCATTGGCTTCTGAAGGAACATATCTAAAAGAGGCCGGTTATCTTCATATTCAATAACTCTGGCATCAATATCTTCATGTAGGTATTCATTCTATAACCGTTGAGAATTCATAGAGAAAAATTCACTTAAAGTTCTGTTCATTGCTTGAGTATAGTTATCTCAAAACTATTTTACATATATTACAACACATTTATTTCTATGACCTTACCCTTCAATTGATGGCATCCTTTTATATTTCTCTCCATCGGCCTGCTGGCTCCTTTAAGTCAGCTCTGATTAACTCAGGGTAGTAATTTAAAAAAAAGTCTAGTCTCGCTACTGGAATTACGGGCATCTCATGCTTTCAAGATGTTAAGATGCTGTTAATGAGTAGGAATAACATTATGCTCCAGAATTTTTAGAATATGAATTAGGTAAATTTCAGGATTACACTGCCCCAGTGGGGAAAAATGTTTCGAATCTCTTAAGAACACTTATACTGCTTCAGTCCTGGTGACATTTAGAAGGTTAGTAGAGTGGAGACAGGAATGACATCAGATTTAGAATCAGGATCTGTTTTCTGCCATTTAACTAGCCAGATAGTCGTTTGCAATTTTCTTAGTCTCCGAGCTTCCCCTTTGTCATCTATGAATGAGAATAACAATATCTATCTCACAAAGCACAAACACCTGATACATAATCATCATTTGTTACAGGTTAAGGACTGGCCTGCTAACCACGAAGTGGGCTGTCCAAACCCACCAGTTGCTTCAAAAGAGAAATAGGAGGCTGCCTGTTCCTGTAAAGATTTACAACCTCAGAAATCCTTTATAGTCAGAAGGGATTTGATGGCAGTGGGGTGGTTACATTGAATACATTGTAAGGAAGTAAATTTTCTTATCATACCTCTTCTACCCAAGTCTCTATAATTCCCACGAAATGATTGGGTGTGACTTGGCAAATAGGGTGTGTGCAATATTCATGGAGCAGATTGCCTCCCCCCTTTTTAACATCCCCTTTGATTGGCCATAAAGCACCAACAGAGAAATCCCGAGGACCTTGGACGACCACACGCAAGCTGTCTGTCTAGAGTGGTGGAGGTCCCCATGAGCAGATGTATCAGAGCCGGTGGCACAGAGACTCATCGGAGCAGCACTGCAACTAGGCTACCTTCTTCTCAACTGGCCTGTAACTATGGAGCTGTGGGACACGGTGATGGGCAGGCTGCCCTCCTGGTCTATGGCGGCCAAGACCAAGGGACCACGTGACTGAGAGGCTGAGGACCAGAGAGCGAGACTTAGGTGAGGAGATCAATGACTGCATTCTCATTGTTTGCTGACTCTGGCTGGTGGTCACCTACTGACTTCTCTAGCAACCCCCTTCATTGTGAGTATTGTCTGTGAGCTCTGTGTGGCCATCGCAGCAAATTATTACAGAGATACAGAGCCGTGTCTTGGTGTCAGAGTAGGTCAGGAAGGATGGAGTGTGGCAGTAGGGAAGCCAGAGGAGGTCAACATGTCCACCTCCATGCTGGTCACTGCGTATGTCAGAATGAAAGCAGATCTCCTGGATGGAGGTGTAGTGAGATGGAGGAAACCAGGATGGTGACAGGAGAAGCAGCAGAGACAGCAGAAGCCAGAGACCGGCCTGGGACAGGGCAGCAGGCTTTCCAGACCAAGGAGCGAAAGAGCTTTCGTGGCTGAGGTGGCTGCCTGCGGTCATGCTGAGGAAGCGAAGCAGGCCTTCAGGCAAGACTGCCTGTGGGCTGTGCTGATGGAAAAAAACGATAGCTTGAATAATTTTGGACCCCAGATCACAATCTGTTACTTCCTTAACAACCCCCAGAAGCCTGGGTCCTGTAACTGAGCGCTGGAGGCCACGGCTGGGAGTTAGCGAGCGCAGCAGAGAAGTGGCGAGTGCAGTGGGGAGGACAGCTGGGGTCAAAACTGGTTGGATGGATGGTTGATTCTGATCTTCCTCCAACTTTGTGATGTGAGAGAAGGGCAGACCCTGTCCCCACACCATTTCTACCCGGAAACAACATGCACACTTTTGATTCATTTCACCAGAGGCAGGAAGACCGCCCCACAGCATCCTTTCTCCGACGTTGCCTTCGGCTGCTTCCTCCCCTGTACGAAGACAGGTCATCCGTGACCACTGAGCTTTGCCTTCTCGCCATGCTCATATAGAGGGGCCGGTCTCTTTTCTTGTCAATTGAGTAAATGGTCGTTAAGTGCTTCGCTGTTACAGAAAGACTGAAGGTTCCTGTCCACCTGGTGATGCCTCAGAGGAAGGGCCCGTGAGCTACTGCCAAGAACTCAGTTCTAGAAAACCCCGTGAAGCACAGTGCTACTCTGACACCTGTAGGGTGACTGTGAGTCAGACTCCACTTAACAGTAACTTAGTTTGTTTTTATACCATGGCTTGGGGAGCTTTCTGCATTGTTATTTGGATGAATCCATTAAATGCATCATTTAATTGATTACATACATTCATTGAACATCTTACAATGCACTGAGTGATAAAGAGATGCTGAAAGTAAGTTCTTTATCCCCAGGGAGCAGCGCATGGTCAGCAGTTTAAAAACACCAAGGCACTTGTCCGAAGGGAGACAACTTTCTACTGTAAAGGTTGCGGTCTTAGAAACTGACCGGGGCAGTTTGACCCGTCTATAGGATTTTTGTCAGTTGGAAGCTACTTGATGGCAGTAGTGAGTGTTGTTTTATCCTCAGGGGATTTAAAATGCAATCCATGTGGGAAGAGAGTCATCCATGAATAGTTGAAGGGCAGAGTGACATGGGACAGATCAAGGCAAAGCACAAGAGCTCAGAGAAAGCAAACTTATTTCTGGTAACTTCATGAGGAAATTCAACCAATGGCTGGAGGGCCGTTTGTTGGGCTGAAGCGTTTAATCATACAGTAGGAAGTTTATGAAGAGACGGGCTTATTTCGAGGGCATTGTAAGAAAAAAATCAATATGCATGTGTGTATACACATATCCCAGTGGTGCGATTATCCTTAGCACACTTAGCTACTGACTGATAGGCAGGAGGAGAAAGTCAAGCCAGGGATTCCTCCAGAAAAACAAAACAAAAACCCTGGGGATTTGCTTCTGAAAAATCTACCATTAAAAGCAAATGTGGAGCAGAAAACTGAGGGTGCCCAGCTATCAAAGAATATAGCGTCTGGGTCTTAAAGGCTTAAAGTTAAACAAGCGCCCATCTAGCAGAGAAGCAACAATCCCACATGAAAGAAGCACACCAGCCTGTGCGATCATGAGGTGTCGATGAGATTAGGTAACAGACATCAGAAGACCCCAAATAAATAAGAGCATATTGTTGAGAACAAGGGTTGTGTGTGTCAAGCAGAGACCCAAACCTCATCTTTAGACAACGGGACATCCCCTCACAGAAGGGTCACAAGGAAGGGTTGAGTCAACAGGGTGCAGTATAGCACCAATGAAACACACACTATTCCTCTGGTTCTGGGAGGCTTCCTCATCCCCCACTCTCATGACCTCAGTTCTGCCTTTCAGTTCTGGCTAGACCATAGCAGGTACATACGGAATCTAGGTCAGATAAACCCCTCAGGTACAGAATTGGGAGTAGTGATACCAGGAGGGTAGAGAGACGGCGGGGAGAGGAGGAGAGGAAGGGGGAACCGATTGCAAGGATCGCCACATGATCTCCCCCTCCCCTATCAGCCCCAGGGGATGAATAACAGAAACATGGGCGAAGGGAAAGCCTGGTTCTACTCTGAAACACACGGGGTTCCCATGAGTCAGAATCGATTCAATGGCAACTGGGATACATCTGCGTCCCTGTATTTCAAATTTCAAGTACCTATTATTCTTTTCAAAGACATGGAAGTACAGTCTTGAAATTTCACAGCTTTCTCTGTGGAAGGTAACCTTGACACAAGCCTAGAGTGCTTTTACTGTTAGACACAGTATGCTGACAGCGTATTATAGACCGTAAACGGCAACTGCAGCGTTCAAAAGAGGTTTTGTATGTCTTATATAGAAAGCACATGAGGCTAAGGTCTAAAGTGATGCATTTGTCATTTCTCTTTGCCTGTGTCAGAGTTCACTCAAATGCTTTTGTGGCAGGTTGTACAGAGTAAGTTGCATAACCTGAAAAAGCAAGGGGCTCCCCTTCAAGATACTTGTCATTATTACAGACTTCTGGCAAACCACCAAAGAACACAAACACCATTTCTTAAGATTTATAAAGCACTTAGGGTGAATGTCATCATGACTACACAATGTGTGATGTACTTTTATGGCATTCATAATCTCAAAATGCTCAACTGTTTTTAAGCATATGTGAAGAATCTAGCCCCATTTAATCGTTCAGGAAGCCCTTTACTCTGCCCTACACACACACACACACACACACACACACACACACACACACACAGACACAGTCATTTGAAGCACACGAAAAGAGTCATGGATGGCAATAGGACTGAGCCCTTTAGCATGTTTAATCCCTACGGTGTCCTGAAAGTCTGTACTCTGTTGACAAGGTGCAGATGTATAATTATTTTAAGTGCATGTTAAGGGAGTCATGGAAATCGGAGCACTTGGATCTGAGGAAACCTTATACTTGAGTCGAGTACTCACATGTTTTTCATTGAACTCTGAGTAGAAGTTTTGAAAGACACAGTGGAAAAAAACAAAACAAAATAAGACAACGACCACAGAAGGCGCACTTCCAAAGCTACGGTCTAAAAACAGCCTTTAAGTGAACTGTGAAGGTTCCAAGTGCAGTCCAGGCGAGAGAGCCCGCATGCTACATGAGCTCGGGCCGTGCTTTTGGTTCGGTGGCAGCACGCTCACCATCGATACGGTTGGGCTTCCGGCAGGTAGATGCTGATCGTTGTGCACTGGAACGCTGCAGGCTCTGAAGCTATGGCCTGCCACCCACTTCTCTAAGGCTACAGCTCGTGATTCTTCTCAACTCTTTGATGCCATTGACTGAGCTGTCCTGTGCTTCCACACCCAGGAAACCATAGATCCGCTTGTTTCCTATCTTAAATAGTGCTCCGATGAACACCTTTGTGCAGAGTTCCTCTGTTTTGGATTAGATCTTTAGATTAATTCAGATTAA